AAGAATCTGTGGATTTGACGGTTACCCATAAGGTTCCCAAAAAATTTAAACTGAAAATTAAAAAAATCATAACAAAACTTACTCGATGGTAACCTTTTATAATTCGTATTATGCGTGAAATAAAATTTAAAATTTAACTTTTATGCATTATGTTTTTTGTATACATTATATTTACATTGTAATTAAGGAGAAATTTTTTTTTTTTGATGTATTTTTTCACTGTGAAACTCCATTAAAAAGACATTGTTTAAAAATTTCATTTATTTATTACCATTATAAAATAATTTATATATATATATATATATATATATATATATATATATATATATATATATATATATATATATATATATATATATATATATATATATATATATATATATATATATATATATATATATATATATATATATATATATATATATATATATATATATATATATATATATATATATATATATATATATATATATATATTTAAACAATTTAAAATGTAATAAAAAAAAAAAAAAAAAAAATTTTGCCAAGTCATTTTCTACTAATTTATATATATATATATATATATATATATATATATATATATATATATATATATATATATATATATATATATATATATATATATATATATATATACATATATATATATATACATATATATATATATATATGTATATATATATATATATGTATATATATATATATATATATATATATATATATATATATATATATAATATATATAATATATATATATATATATATATATATTTTAATTAAATTTACAAAGTTTAACATATTTGTTAAACATATTTTCCAGGAACTATTAAACATGTGGTAAATATTCCATTGAGACACTGTTTGCATTTTTAAAATGATCAAAATATAAAGTTTTGTTTCTGCTAGTAATGGTAATAACTGGTTTGCGTTTAATCAAAATATTAGTTTAGTCAGAAATATTTTAAAAAAGCAAACAGGCGAATGGAATGTGATGGATAGGTTATATTTAGGGAATTAAAAGCTTTTAAATCATTTTTTACAGATCCACTCTTTTCCATTGATTTTTCTATATTTTTTGTAAGCAAAATGACTGATTTTAACGAATTTTACTCAACGTCAGATATAAATAAAGATAATTAAGTGTTTAAATGCAAAAAAATGGCTTTATTGTTATGCTTCAACCTTATTTTTTAATCATTGATATTTTTTGACTTAAATATAAAATAACTTACAACCCTATACTTGTAAATACTTGTAATATAATACTTATGTTTATAATACTGATAAAATTTTTATTGATATGAACTTTTGCATTCAAACTTTAGTTATAAAACTTTAATTTAACTTGATAACTTTAACATAAATAACAATAACTAAAAAAAGATAATAGTTATTATATAGATTATAACCATATATTTATTATAATTGAGTTATAGTAAGTTAAACACTATAAAATGTTAAGTTCTATGTAATAGGTCTTATATGTATGTAGATCTTGTATTTTGCAGCGTGTTCAAGAATATTTCTGCATGGTGCACTCTGGCTGTTGACAATAATTGCATACTGATATGAGTAAAAGTGACTTTAACAACCAGAAAGTATTTTTGATAAATATTAGTAATAACAGGTTAGTAAACATAATTATAATTATAATGGTCATAACTTTTTAATATTAGAATTAGTGAGAGACTTAAGTATAATAAAATTGCATGAACTTTGGGGCAAAGTTAATGCAATTTTATTATACTTATTATACTTAAGAACAAATATAACGATTAGAGTAAATATTACTCTTGCTTATTACCTCGATTAGAGTAATGTAAGAAAATATTATTTTTATCTAAAGAATATTTGACAAAACTCAATATTTTCTAAGTATTAAATATTATAAAAAAACGTGTTTAAAAAAAAAATTGTATTATAAAATTAAAAAATAAGTATTTAAGTAAAAAAAAAAAAAACATGTATTATTATAATGTATATATATCACATTAACTATGTTGACTATAAAGTAGGGGTTTCAGCTGATATTTCAGCTTTATCTTTAAACTCATTAGCTTCAGATTAAAGCTAAAGCTGATCAACTCAGTTTAATCAACTTGATAATTGATAGTAAAAGAGAATAATACTCCATAAATACTTTATATAAAAACATATTGGAACTTATTCAATAAAAATCTAAAATAGTGACAAAATTTAAACATACATGTAAAAAATTTTAAATAAAATTTGCCAAAAGTTGTTGCTATTTATAAATGTTAGCGTCAGAGTCTAGGCCTAGACTCACAATATTAGGGGACCCAAATTGGGTTTTTAAAGATTTGTTTAAAAAGCGATGCCCAAATATCTAATTCCATGTTTAATTATCCTAAGGAAACCAACTATTTTTTGTTCAAAAAGAGTACACTTTGCAAGTATTTCATAGGTGAAAAAAAAGAAGAAAAAACGATATATTTTCTTTTAAAAACATATTTTTCTTCAGAGAAAGATTTCTACCTATTTTTTAAAAAATTCATTTTTTATTCCGAGATTGGAATCTTTCAAAATGGTCAGTTTACAGGCTTTAATATAGCCTTTAATATTGTATGTAGTAGTGTATTTATATATTTTTTAGTTAAATTTGCCTTTATTTTGCTTTTTTATATTTTTCTGAAAAAATTGTTTTCTGTCACTCTATCCTTCTGAACTTATGTGATTAAATTTTTGTTTTCTCTTACATATTTTTTAACTCATCTCATCTCATCCGTTCATTCTCTCTCCTTTTTTTTTTTCATTTTTCTTAGCGTTACTCTGTTATATTTTTGTTCTAATTCCAACTTTTTTAATATTATTGTTTCTTATACTTCTTTTTTTATTACTTGTATTAATGTAATTTACTTTTTTTATTATTTCCTTGTTTTAATATTGTTTTATTTTATTTGTTTATTTTATTAAGGTGTCGCTCCATTGACTAGTTTTTAATATGAGTGACACCGAACCTAAATTTGTAAATTATAATTAAATTTGTAATTTTTTGATTTTATGGTTAATTAACCATAAGACCATGCATAGTATGTACGGAAAAGTTTTTTTATTCTTTTATTTAATTAAATAAATGGATAAAAAAAACTTTGCCGTACATACTATGCATGCGTCAAGACTGTCAAGCATGCCGTACATACTGTACACATACTGTACATCAAAGATCTGCGTTGGGAATTATAAACACAAATATTGGAGAGATGTATATATTCATCTCTTTTCACAAATGTAATTTTGACATTGTTAGAAAAAGAGGTCTGTAGTATCTATCTATCTCTCCAGTTATATATATAATACGGCCTCTCAATTTGCTGAAAAAAGCAGACATATTTGCGTGCAAAATTTAAATCACTGTCAAACTTGTGTCTGGTGTTTGCCCTGTCCTCTGACGTGCCGGAAATGGCAAGCAATATGCGCGCGTGGAATTCAAATCACTGTCAAAATAATTTTAAATATTTAATTAATGAAATTGAAATGAAATAATCTGAAAAATGTTTTAGAAATACAAATACGTACAAAATTATACAAATGAGTACTTTCAGAGAACAGGATTTGAAAAGAGTATAGTTTGTGAAAAAAGAGTATAAAACTCAGTAAATGAGTATAGTTGGTCACCTTAATTATCTACATAATTTTTTGGTAGTTTTCAAAGTTCTTGCAAAAGATGGTTTTATCTATGAAAATATTGAGTTTAAAATCAATTTTGCTGTTATCATATGTGATGCACCAGCTAGAGCATTTGCAAAGTGTATTAAGTGACACAAAGGTTATAACTGATGTGAGCATTGTGTTTAGAAAGGAGAGTGGTGTGGCAAGATAGTATTTTACTAATTTTAGGCGCTGATTTTTTCATCAAAAGCATTCTTAACATCTTAGTGGTGTGTTAAATTGAATTAAATTTGGACATGGTGAAAAAGTTTCCTTTAGACTTTATGCATCTAGTATGCTTAGGGCTATGCAAAGACTCATTAACTTATGGTTAAATTGCCCAAATGTTGTTAATTGTCTCAGATTACAGTCAATACTTTATCTGGCGGATCGTTCCAGATACGTCATTACATTCCAAGAAATTTTTCTAGAAAACCAATGTTTTAATTAGGTATTAAAAAATGGAAAACAACTGAACTTAGACTATTTCTAGTATACACTGGGCCAGTTGTTTAAAGGGAATGGTTTAGCCAAAAATCTATTCAAACTTTTTAGATTTTTCAGTTGCAGTTCTAATTTCATAATGTTTTATTTTGTTGAAAAAATATGTTAATTTTGTTACTTATTTTGTGCAGTTTTATTGGTGAACTTTATCGTAAGGATCAACTAGTTTACAATGTCCATTCATTAGCACATATAGGAAATAATACAGTTAAATTTTAAGTACTTGATAGATGTCCCTTGTTCAAATACAAAACTTTTTCAGGTCAATTAAAAATGCTCGAAGATCAAAGAGTTGCTCAAATAAACACGTACAAGAAGATAAACAGAAGTTTAGTACTTCTTATTTTGATGGTAGTAATCATTGCATTGAGACACTGTTTACAGTTTAAAAATTATCAAGGTTTAGAGTGTTTTGTTTCAGCTAAAGAAAATGATAATTGTTTTGAAATTTCAAAAATAAAATGGTAAAGGTAAAAAGGTTTTAAAAAGCAGACAAATAGGTTATGTTTGAGGAATTTGCAACTTTTTAGTCATTTATATATATATATATATATATATATATATATATATATATATATATATATATATATATATATATATATATATATATATATATATATATATATATATATATATATATGTGTATATATATATATATATATATATATATATATATATATATATATATATATATATATATATATATATATATATATATATATATATAAGCAGAGCTTTGTCTAGGGGGCTCATTTGCAAATTTAGGAGCCCTTTTTCGAATGTAAAGATTTTTTTTATTTAGTATTTTTATTTATATTTTTTTTATTTATTGGAAAAGTTTTTAAGAGTTTTGGGGCCTTTATGACAGGTTTTTTGGAATAGGGGGGGCTTGTATCTAGTAGCCACAGCACTGTATAAAAGGTATATACAATAGGGTACATCGCTAAAATCATTTTAATTAAAATAATACGGCATACTGATATTCCTATGTAAATTTAAATTTTAATTTGAGTTTCTTTTTTGTGTTTTTTAATTTCAAAATGTTTTGGTAGGGCAATATTTTTACTTTTAGTTGTGCATTTATAGTTTATTGTAAATAATTACCTGTTTTTTGGGAATGTGTTGTAACAACTGTATAATTCTCAAGTTGAGTAATACTTATCTTGAAAAATTAATACTAGTTATCAAAATATCATAAAGTTTGTTTTTATAATGCGTATTATGCATACTCAACGATTATGCATATTAAACATATGTGTTAAAATAAATTATGGGATAAAATTATTTGCCCATTATTTTGACCTTGTAGTCAATGTTTTATCTTTTTCGGGGCTTAATGATAAGACTAAATTTGTCTTCTTCTAGCCCCAGTCATGTACATTTTTTTTTTATAAACTACGATTGTAAATTTTTTTTTTTTGGCAAATACATAGATACATTATTATCTTAAATATATGTGCTTTTGTTAAGGAAAGGTATTTTTACAACAAATAAGTGAAAGAAGTAGGTTTTTACTTAGTTTACATACTCAAGACTTCAAATTTTCTTCGTTTATATACTTTAATAATGTGTATTATTTTTTTATTTTTAATAACAGTACTCACAATGAGTAATTATACATCGAATGTGAAAACTAGACATAGTTTAGCAACTAAATTGTCTAATTTTGTTGGAAAAGGTAAAGAGTTTGTTTTGTCGGAGGTATCCACTAAAAGATCAGTAATTCAAATGGGTATTCTTCTAAAGGTTAGCTTTTATTTTATTTTTTAACTTCTAAAATATTTTTAAAAGTTATTATATCTAATATATATATATTGACTTTATATAAATTATTTGTGATAAATAACTAAATCTATATCTACCTTTTAGGGAAAAAAAGAAATAGAATTTGAATGTTAAAAACATAATTTTGCTACAAAAGAACTAAGCAGAGAACTTGCTAAACTGGTGACAGCTCAATGGTTCAAAGCAAATAGTCTGTTTAAACCACCAGTTACAATTTCGGAAAAATCACTTGCAGAAAAAATAGGGAGACTATGATTTAAAATATCCAAGTTTTTAAAAAAAACAAAACCATCTAAATTAGCAACCAACAAAATAACTAATGACCTTTATAGTCTCTTTTATATCATATCATGTACTCATACAATCATTATATGCACAGAGGCAGCATCATTTTGCAATGATCCCGAAAACTGCAAATTAGGTACACATGTTTATTGTTCATGCCCTCTATTACAAAAAGTTCCTGTACTTGATCTTCTTTGGCTTCGTAATCAGAGGCTTAAAAAGAAAGAGATTTCTACTATGCAAATTGGTTTATGTGATTATAAAGAATCGGCTCGTCTACAGAGAAGAGAAAAAAGGAAAAACATTCAGGAAGAAGCTGAAAAAAAAAAGGAAAAAAAAAGAAAATATGAGTTTGATAAATTTCAGGTTAGCTAAATTACCATGAATATAATTCTTTAATTGTTTTAAAACATTTCTTACCGCAATCTAAGAAAGACTTTAAAACTAACTTTTTAATGTTTAATATATATTAAACTTTTTTAAATTTAAAATTTATATATTCTATTATATATAATATTATTTACCAATATTAGAAAGTAATAATAATATATTATAGAAACTGCATGTTTAAACAATTTAGAATCCTGAACTAGTTTTCAATCTGCTGGAAGAAAACAACAATGGTATTGATGATACTGATGGTACATCAATGTAAATACTGCACAACTAAAAAACGAAACAAAAACTTTGGTCGACAAGTTGCTTGAAGAAAAACTAGGAAGATTGGCATCACTGGTTACAAGATACTTAAAAAACCAAGTCTAAAGCAAAACAAAATGACCATAACACATGCGGCATCAGCTGCAATAAGATATAATATTTTTAATGTTGGTGTGGCAGCTATAATCACTGGTATAATAAAAGATTTTATAGCTGCAGGTTATCTTTCTCCTGATATGTCATACCTTTCTGTTGACCCTAATAAAATGAGAAGAGCTAAGAATAATGTAATAAAAGAAAATATAATTATTGGAGCTAATAAATGTAGCAACGAAAATATAATTGGAATTGCTTATGATGGAAGAAAAGACTGGACCAAAACGTTAATTCCAGATAAATACGGAAAACTTCACTCTAGAGTCAAAAAAGAGGAGCATATAAGTGTAACTTGGGAACCAACTGGACGTTATCTTGCTCACATCACGTCAGAACCTGCCCTTCATCCGGAAAAACCTGCAAAAAAGATAGTTGAAGCACTCTATGAGGTGCTTGAAAAAAACAATGCTACTGAGTCATGCATAGGAATAGGTGGAGATTCAACTAATATCAACACAGGATGGTCAGGGGGAAATCATGCCCATCTTGAAAAAATGTTAGGACATAAATGCTATTGGGCGATTTGCATGAAACATGCAAATGAACTCGAGCTACGACATTTAATTATATCCTTTGATGGTCTGACAAGTAGCAAGGACAGATTTACAGAATCAGTTTGCAAAAATCTTAAGTATGTAAATGATATGACAATAAATTATAGTTTTACACCCCTGCCAGATGGAGAGGAGCGTTATATAATGCTGCTTTGCAGGTTTATCCTGTTTATGCTTTATCCTTACGATAAATGGAACAAATTTTTGAATAGACCATGGAGTTCTGGATTTTATCATTGAAAAAAGTTTCACAAACACAAATTAAGGCAGGTTTGTTTGACTATTGTATAAAAAACAATCGTTAAGTTTGTTGGCAAGACTTCTCGCGTTAAAAAGATAAATTTTAAAATTGTTGAGCGAATTTGTGGTTAAGTGATTGCTTGAGTTTATTAAGTCGTTTTGTTCATTTCAAAAAATATTTTTAGAGAATGAAAAAAATAAAAATGAACAAGTAATAATAAAAAAATTATATCTAAAAAAATTTAATGATTACTACATACCCAGTAAGCACAAAGACGTTTAAAAGACGTTTTAAAGATGTCTTTAAGGAGGTCTAAAAGGCGCACTTGTAGACGTCTAGATCATAAGGCTAAAAGACGTCTAAATGAAGACGTCTTTATAAAAACGCGTTTTAGACGTATGTTAGACGTTTTTATCAAGATAAATTTAAGTACATGACGTAACATTTTCGCGTAGTATGTGGTATATATTCATTGTATTTATAGCATCATATATTGTTATAATTTCGTATATACAACATATACATAGGAACCAGCAATCAAAATAATATTGCTGTAATCACCACCAACGGTTGATGCATCAAAGATGAAAATAATAATAAACAATAACAAATATATATCAAAACAGTATTTAAAACATTTAGTTATAAAAAGTATACCTTTAGTTATAAATAATATATCTTACCTATTGTTAGCTAATTTTTGACCGCATACTTGACTTATTATATGGCTTGTGGGTGTATAAAAACTAAAAGTACTGATATTTAACTTATATATTATTCTTGCCATTTTCACTTATTATCATGATCAGTCAACTATCTATTAAAAAAGCAAAATAATTATTAATAAAAAAAAGATATATTATTATTATAGCAATTATTTTAGTGGTTCCTGTGACAACAATTTTAGCAATTGTGTAAAAAAGTAATTTAATTTAAAGTAATTAACACTTAAAACTTGAACAAATTATTGAAAATAATAAAAACTGTTTTTACTTTAAATATACGACATCTACTTAACGCGTAATGACAAAGCCGTCAAAAAGAAGTCATAATGACATATTTATAAACAGGTCTCAGAAAAGACGTCTTTTGATCTAGACGTCTTTTAATGCGTATTTTAGACTATTTATTACGCGTCTTTTAAACGTATTTTTAAACTTTAAAAAGACGCATTTTAAACGTCATGTTAAAATCGCATTTATTAAAGACGTCTAGAAGATGTCTTAAAAAAAGATATCTTCTAGACGTTTTTTTAACGCTTAAATAGACGCCTTTTAAACGTCATTTTAAAAACGCATTCATAAAAGACGTCTAAAAGATGTCTTTATAACGCCTATAAAAGTGCGTCTTTACCTAGACTAGTTTTAGACGTCTATAAGTGTCTAAAATGCGTCTTGTGCTTACTGGGTAACAATTCCCTTTGGGATATTTCTAGCGATTTGTATAATTATATTTGTACAATGATTAGTTATTGCAACATTATAATGCCCTTGACAATTAATTCCGCTTGAAGGAATTCTAGTGTGAATACATACAAAATTTGACTGTGGAATGAATCGTTTTGAACGTTTTGAACTGATAACCTTTTTAATGCTTTTGTTGTTTACCGCAATAATATGTTGTTTACTAATGCACCTTAAAAAAATATCCTTCTAAACATGAATGAAAACAGTGAAAAGGGAACATCATTTTTTCTACACAAAAATGATAAAGACCCAACTTCAGTGTGGTCACATTATTTGAAGTCTGCGGATAATTTGGCAGCAAAATGTAAGAAATGTGGTGTAATTTTGAAAACATTTGGTGGTACTACAAAAGGCCTTCATACGCACTTATCAACTAAGCATAATTTGAAAGTAACTTCAGCCGACAAAAATTTACCTAGTTCGAGTCAACAGTTGAATGATGCCAGAACCGACGAGAAGCCTCCTACGAAACGAAGAATAACGAGTTACTTTGCATCTGAAAAAAAAAAAATCTTAGACGAAACACTGGCTCGAATGACAGCTTTAGATGGGCTAACATTTAATGTATTTATAACATCAAAAGATTTAAGGCAATTACTGATTACCAGTGGTTTCGAAAATTTGCCCAAGTCAGCAAACTCAATTAAAAGGATAGTGGTGAGTTACAGCTTAAATATTAGACAGTTAATTTCCAAAGAAATTTATCAATATAAAGCTTTGGGAACACGATTTTCTCTGAGCTTTGATGAATGGACCTCTACAACAAATAAAAGATACATAAATATTAATGTACATATCCCAAATATGCACTGGAATTTGGGTCTTATTCGTGTATATGGTTCTATGAATGCTGAGAAATGTATTGATGTTTTAAAAACACGTCTAAAGGAGCATAATGTTAATATTGATACAGACATTGTTGCTATTGTTACGGATGGTCCAAATGTAATGGTTCGTGTGGGAAAAATTATTGAGGCTGAACACCAGTTGTGTTTAGTCCATGGAATTCACCTTGCAGTTTGTGATGTTCTTTATAAAAAAAGTTCTACGCCAATGTCCGACACCGAAGCACCATTGAAGGAAACTCAAAATATTGTTGATGAAACAGATGATCACGAAGATGAAGAAAATATCGACGAGGAAATGGGATTAGGCTTTCTTCCCCCAACAAATGATGGGATAGCAAATATGGATTTACTCACCAATGAACAAAATATCAATGAACTAGTGAAAAAAGCCCGTAGGGTAGTTGTTCTTTTTAAAGGATCCCCGACAAAAAATGATGCAGTCTTGCAAAAATATGTCAAAGAAGAGAAAGGCAGCGAGCTTTCGCTCATTTTGGATTGCAAAACAAGATGGAACTCTCTTCTATCGATGCTAGAGCGTTTCCTTGCTTTAAAAACATGTATACAGAAAGCTTTAATTGACTTAAACCACCTAGTTTCCTTAAACGAAAGTGATTTTGTGGTTCTTTCGGAAATAATAGAAGTATTTGCACCTGTCAAATTAGCAGTAGATGCGTTATGCAGACGAAATGCTAATCTATGCACTGCAGATGCAGTACTTATATTTTTATTCTAGCAGATTGCTCAAAAACAATCTCCCTTTGCTAATAAAATGTTCCAAGCTATAAAAACAAGAATGGAAAAAAGACGATGTGAAGAAATTTCTGGTGTTTTAAAATACCTTCAAAATCCAAAATATGATGCTGTGAATGATGAAACAAATGTCTACAAAATTTTTGGAGTTCCTCCTAAAACCCTTATTAGGAAGCAGATAAAAAAACTTATTGAGAGACTAGCTGCTTTTAAAAATGATAGTTTAGAAAAATCAAGTATTGATGTTGATGAAAATATAATGGCTGTCGTTTGAAATGAAGAATCACAAGTTCGAGCCTCCCTGTCTTTAAGAGAAAAGTTACAAGAACAAATTGCACAAAGCATGAAAGCCATTGAACTAGAAACACAAACTTCAAATTTAATGTCAATCATAAAGAAAGAAATGCATCTGTTTGAAAATGGTGGAAACCGGGGGCATAATTTGGAATTAGTATACCAATATTTGTTATCTATTCCACCGACGAGCATCTAACCTGAGCGGGCATTTTCTGCAGCTGGGTATTTGGGAAGTAAAATAAGGAGTAGGCTAAATGACCAAACCTTAAATGCTCTACTATTGCTCCGGGCATATTTTCAGACAAAAAAAGAAAGTTTGTAAATAAAATTTAATATGAATTGTTTTTTTGTTTTACATTTATTATTTAGCTACAATTTATTTATAAATATAAAATAAAGATTTTCTTTAATTTTTGTCTCTCAATATTAACAAACAACTTATTATGTTATTTTTTACAAAGTAGCTTGTTGCTACAGCAGCTACATCGGTACCCAAATTTAAGAAAATTTATGTTTACAAATTTATTTTGAAATTATGATTGTTTAGTTACTTTAGTCAAATACACTTTAAATGTTCAAATGTTATTTACATATCCAATTATTTGATGAAGGTTATTCTGTAAAGTCTGTAATCTTAAAACATAATATGGAAGGTACCGTATATATATTTCTGCATTATTTTAAGATCTTTATATACACCTGCTGCCTGTTACACAATTAAAACAATTTAAGGCGCCGTAGAAAATTAATGTAAGTCATTAAAACATAATGAAATTAAATAAAGAATTGATAACATCAAAAAGTGTATTCATATATGCAGTATTAAGTTCTGTTTTTTAGCAAATAACTCACATTATATAAAATCCCGGGATACCGGGATCCCGGGATTTTATTTACTTCAATCCCGAAATCCCGGGATCGTAATTCATGCCCGGGATTGCAATCCCTAGTTTTGTGTCAAAATGTATTTCAAACTTTATTTTGAAATTTCTTCTAAACATCTGCTAGAGGACGGACAAAGACACATCTTGCTTGAACTTAAAATTCTTAAGACACTCCCAGTCAATGTGGCGAATATTATTACACCTTATATACGAACTGGGGCTTGGAACAGCCATAGTGAGTGTATTCTGGTTTCACTTTTGACTAGCTCTAATAAAAATGAAAAAAAATTTGGTGTTGATAAGGTTTTACAAAATTAGAGGAAATAATGAGCTTGGAGACACTGCTGTTCGAAAAAGAATATCTCCGAAAATTAACCTTGACGCTACTATTCTTCAAGAATTAATTTCTTGAAATGTAAAAGATTGTTATGAACCAATATTTACATGTAATCTTTTTACAGTGGAGATCAAATTCATTGAAAATCCATTGAAAATTCCTAAATTATTCAGCATTCACACTCAAGCAACAGAACGCTGCGTCAAAAGCGTGACGGAAGCATCTGCCATTGTTTCCGGCCAAGAAAGAAGAGATGGATTTGTTAGAACAAGAATGATACACAGGGAAGAAATTCCCACCTTTAAATTAAAGAAAGATGTTCTTGAAATAACTAAGAAATAAAACAAAATTGTATATTTTGTATTTTTTTCATTTTTTTTCAAAATCTAAACCTGTAAAACTTGAAAACCGCTTTCAAATGAGAATTACTTTTTTTAATAAAATATTTAACAAAAAATAGTTTTGAAAATAGTTTTAAACCCTTTAGCAAATTAAAAAATATGAGGTTGAGTAATTTTTAGATTAAAAATTCTTTCCCCTACATTAAGAACGATGACATAAATTCATTTGTTCAGAGGTAGGCCAGGGGGGTTGGGAGTGGGACGACGTTCCTATGCTCTTATCGTTAAGAAAGTTTAATCCGTTTCTGACAAAACAACGCTATTTGACATAAGTATAAAAATAAAAT